CAGAAGACTGGGCCCATCCTGTCTCTAAGGAAGGAGATGCCACAATTTCTAGCCATTCTTGATCTCTCCTCTCAGTGACTCATATGCTGTCCAGTGACCTCACTGGAGATGGGAGGATGATTATTTAGAGGGACCTCCCTTTGGAGGTCTTGGAAACCACCCAATGGCTCCATAGCAGCCCTATGGCCTGAGGTGATTCTTTGCTTCCTGAGACACAGGGAAGAAGAGAGGGTGGATGCACAAGGTACAGTGGGTGGTAGGAGAAGGGCATTGGGTCATATGCACATGATGAAGGACAGGTATGGGGAGCATCTCCACTGGGAGGAGAGATGGGAGGTAGACCTTTTATCTCCCGTTGGCTAAAGCTGACTCCCATGCTTCTTAAATGGCCGCATGAATGAATGGGGTCTCCTTGGGACTGCCATCCCCTCCATCACTGGTCCTCATCCCCGCCATTACTGATTGATGATTATCATCCTCCAGGCCACCAACAGCAGCCTTTGCTTCACTGATGCCATCTCCACCAGCATCAGGCTATCATTTTCATGATCACCAATAGAAACCTAGTGACTGAATCCCTGGGGGAAGGAGTTAGGGTTAATGCTATGGCCCTTGCCCTTAGGGACTTCTAGGCCACTCCTTGGGAGAGGGACAAGAACTAGAAGCATGCCAAGACAGGGGAAATAGCCTTATGTGGAACCGAACTCCCTCATGCCTTAAGGAAGGCAGCCAAGTGCCCGAGTAGCTTTGTCTCTGATGGTGAGTACCTCTTCCACCTCCAATTAGCAGCCACCTGTGAGCCACTGGGTAGAACCTCTCACCTTTGGCATATGGCAAGAGAGGCTGGGGGAAAGGTGACCCAGGCCACCAGAGCAGAAGCTGGCAGATGGGGCGTTGAGATGTGGAGCTGCTGCTCAGGGCTGACTCCCCAGCATGGTCAGGGAGCAGGGGAATGGGGCCAGAGAATAGAGGAAGGAAGGGACAGTCAAAGGAGGAGAGTGGACAGGCCAATTGTCAGGGTGGGGAGGTGGAGGGGTAAGGGCTAGAGAAAAAAGAGCCCCAAGAAGAGGAGGAGAAGGAGGCTGGTGAGCTCCCTGGCTGCTGCTGGGCCTTCCTCCCCTTGGATCCAGCCAGAGGTCAGTCCTATCCCTCCCTCCCCCCTACAGCAGGTGCCCTTGACTCACCATCCACATTCACAGCTACAGAAGGCCCAGTTTTCATTGCATTATAGGGCAGAAGAGCTTTGAAAAGAGACCCTGGCAGGGCCCACATGATGCATACCCCTTTCCTCGGGGTCGCTGTGTATACATGTGTGTGCGTGTGTTTGGGTATGAAGGGGTGCACGCAGCAGTTTCCAAGGACAGAGGTGCCCTCGGACTATGGTCTGCTCTTCTTTTAATGTCCATTTGGGGAGATCAGAATGGGCTGCATTCCTGTTCTGCCATGTCCTCCTTGGGCACTCTGCCCTTGGGTGAATCCCTTGCAATTTCTGCAGGCCAGTGACCCTAGAACTCCAACAAAAGCAGTCCCCTGTTCTCTGGGCAACCCCTCACCTCCAATGCCCCAATAATCCTGCTGTCCCTGCTCCCTCGCCTGCTTAGAGGCCCCTCCGTCAGGAGCTAAATTGTCCTTTGCTCAGTTTTGACCTATGAATCACACTGGTTAGTGGGGGATAGGCCCATGGACTCATCACCTCTGGCCTCAGAAGGTGGGCAGAGCCCCACCCCTCCCCATCGGGCCAAAGCTCCAGCCCTCCAATTCTTTTCCTCTTACCCACCCCTGGCAGCCTTTCCTCTCACCCCAGCCCCATCCCAGACTTAACCCCTTCAGCCTCTCCCATCAGGCAGGGTTCCCAGCACCACCACATCACGCTCACCATCAGCACGACCCAGGTCCACGCAGTGGGCCTCAGCCAGGTCCTCAGCTCTGCTGAGGACACACAGATGAAAGGTGAGCTAGCTCCCGTCCTCAAGGAGGGCCAGTTGGGGAGCTACAGCAGCAGGGTGCTCTAATGGAAGGAGCGCTGAATCTGGGGGCCTCTTCTCCCTCCTCACCCTTCTCCAGGTCTCTGCAGCCCTGGTTCCTGCCCAGCACCCACTTCTGTGGACACTTGCTCCTCTCTGGATTTTTCCTGACCCTGCTGTTTCTGCTGCTTCTCCCCCTAGCAGGCTGCCCACTCCTTTCTCAGCCCTCTTTGCTGGCCTCTCATCCAGGCTACACCTGCTAAGCGTGGGTGACCCCCAAGGTTCTGCTTGGACCCTCTGCTCTTCTCCCTCGGTGCTCCCTTCCCAGGTGACTCACCAGCTCCCATAGGCTTACTCAGCATCAATCACAAGGAATTCCCAGATCTCCGTAGTCAGCCCCGGTGTCATTCTCCTCAGCTACATGTTTCCAGCTGCCATTTGGACAGCTCAGACCGGATGTCTCAGAGGCTTTTTGAACTCAACATGTCCGAAACAGAATTCATTATACTCCTCCTCTTCACCTGTACCCCACCCTTCTTCTGGCATTCCCTATTTCATCCTTTAGACCTCAGACACTTGCTAGTTGTGTGACCCTGGGCAAGTCACTTTGCCACCATCTACCTCAGTTTCCTCAACTGTAAAATGGGGATAATAATAACACCTCCCTCTCAAGGTTATCACAAGAATAAAATGAGATAGTAATTGTAAAGTGCTTAGCACAGTGCCTGGCACATAGGAAGCACTTGCTTGATTGAAGTATGTTTGTTCCAACTCTCTTACTTACTACTGGTGTGACCCTGAGTAAGTTGCTTTGCATCTTTCTGCCTCGATCTGTTGTCTGGAAGATGAAGTGGTTGGAGTGGGTGATGTTTAAAGCTCTTGAACATCTAACATAATGGGGACATGCGGGAGGAAGCCCCAAATGGCTGGGCATAGAGGAGATGGCACAAGAAAGTGCCAGGAGGTAGCAACACTTCCCTATGGGGCCGTGTGAACAGGCTTTGAAGGAGGAGATGGGGAGGGAGCATGGTTCAGGCATGAGTAAGCAGCCTGTGTGAATGTGTACAGTAATAAATGGGAGAAACATTGTGGTGGAGGTGCTGGCTCCAAGTCCTGGGATTCACTCTAGCTCACCACCACTGGGCCAGGGGAGCCCAGGACCCAACACACAGGCGAGCGGTGAGCATTCCGAGATGATCACTGATTGGGTAGTCTGAATGAATCTTCTAACCTTCCTGGGCCTATTCTTTGGCCCTCAGCAGGCTAAGCCATTTTAGATCGATTAATCTGGCAAAGACCTTCCAAAGTAATCCTGTCTCCTCCCACCAGGCTCAGACAGACAGACAGCTCTCTTGTTACTCTGCAGGGTGACCTCACCGCCCCACCCTTACTCCCCTGTGCTGGTGTCTGCTGGTTCTCAGGCAAGGGATCTGCTGCTTGCCAGCAGCAGGCCTTCCCTCATACATAGATCACCTAGGCAAGCATTCCCTCAGACCTCCCTCAGATAAGGCTCTCTAAGCACAGCATGAGGTCAGGGCTCCTCATCTCCCCCTCCTGTTGCCCTGGGCAGCTGCACCCCAGACAGGTTGCAGATCCCCAGGTCCAGAGCCAATTACATGTTGTGGGCCTTGACTCAGAGGAACAGGCCTGGGGCCATTTGTCTTAACTTTGCCCCGAGGGGTATTGAGGTGGGACCCAGCTGTAGAGATTAATGGCTGGAGCTGCTGAGCCCCCAGGGAACCTCCTTATTGGCTGATTTTACCTGTGTTGACCTCCCCAGACTGGTTTTTACTACCTTGGGGATTGCTTTTACTGGAGCAGGTTTTTGTTAAAGAAATTATTCATCTGAACTCTTAGGCCAGCTCTGGACAATCCATTGCGGCAGGTGTGGACCACAGTCAGGACAAGATGGCAAAATGTGGATTGGATGGGAGCACACTCCAGTGGATTGGGAGCTGGTTGGATGGCCACACTGGAAGATTGAGATTCCTGAATCAGTATTGCCCTAGACAGAGGTCTCCAGTGGCATTTCACCACGCTCTATGCTCAGTCCTGTTCTGCTTAGCACTTTTGGGAATGATTCAGATGAAGTCACAGATGGCTTCCCGCTCAAATCTTTGGGTTGGGAAAGACCTAGCAAAGCTCTTGGATGGCAGAATCTGAATCAGAACAAACAGGCACGATGGGCCAAATTGACATGTGGAAACCATTATATTGTATGACATTAATGTCTTCTCCTATTCTACAGAAGTCGGTTGCCCAGGTCCAGAATGGCCACAGCTCAACAGTTGTCCTTGGGGAAAAGACCTGGGAGTTTTAGTGCTGCCTGGCTGCTGCCCTCCTCAGCTCCCTCAAGGGAGGATTGAGTTCAGCTTTAGGTATTACGTTTGAAGTGAGACAGTGACAAATTGGAATAGGGGAAGAGGAAGAAGAAGGGGCTAGACAAGACGGCAGATGAGGATCTCTAGCATGATGGCCCAGGAACCTGGACTGGGCCTTGGGCTGTTTCACATTCACATCCATGATTTGGGAAAAGGTCTCAATATTCTACTCATCCAAAGTTCTGAAGCCATCCAGCTGGGAGGGAGGGACCACTGACAACACACTGAGTGAGCTGGATGGCCAAGGACGATGGTCCACATGGAAGAAGGTGAAACTTCTTTTGGGAGCCATATAGAGTAGAACACAAGTTGAAGCAAATACCTTCCCAAGGGCTACGTATGGAAGATGAGGCCAGCCTGCCACATATCTCAAAGGAATGGTGCACTTTGGCCGGGCTACAGACTCTGTCTGAGTCAACAGGGAAGAATGATGGTAAGTAAAGCAAAGGCGATCTTACTGAAAAAACTCCAGTGGGAGGGGAGTGCTTGGCTGTTCTTGGCGCTGGCCATTAGGCCATGGGTTCTTGGCCCAACATTCCATGCACAGATTCCAAAAGGAGGGCAGCCAGGAGGGGGAAGGCCCTCAGGATCACGTCACACAAAGATTGGCTGAAGGGAAGGAGGGAGTGCTCAGCATAGAGAAGAGAAGACTCGGAGGGGCTGGAAGGACTTCCTGAAGAGCTGTCCTGTGCCAGAGGCTTCTTCTGCTTGGAGCCAGGAAGCAGAGCCAGGAATTGTGGGGGCAGGAGCTGGGAAGAAATCTTTACAATCGAAGTAAGGCAAAGCACCCTACCAGGTAGAACTCTTCCCTACCAAGTGGGACAGGCTGCCTTCAGACGCTGGGGTCCCCCTCACTGTCCATCTTCAGGCAAATGTGCTGGGCATTAGTGTTCAGGTAGGGTCTGGAGTAGATGACAACCCCTGAGGGCCTGCCCACAGACTTGAGTCTGTGAAATATTTGGAGGGAATTGGATTTGCTCTGCTTGGCCCTTGGAAAGCTGCACATCTGGTGCTCTGAGGGCTAGAGGAGAAGAAGGCCTCACTGAGCTGGGCCACCATGCTTGGCATGGGCCTTCCTGGACCTGGGACTTCTGGGCAGAGAAATGAGAAGGCTGGCCTGACTGGGGCTTTGTCCCAGGGTGGTGCCATCCATGGAAACACACTTCCTCCCCACTGTGGCTCCATTCCCAGCCCCACCTAGCTCTTCTCTCAGGGCCTACCTTCCCCCACAGCCATGCCTGCTGCCTGCATGCCTTGGGCTTTCAGGCTGGAATCTCTGGGGGCCAGGCTGAGCCCTATCCTGGCACAATGATACTTGACCAGGGCAGATGCTGTGTTCCACCCTCCCCTAGGGCAGCAAGATTCCTAGTTACTGTCCTGCTTCTGGGAACATTGAACTGGGACTCTCTGGAAAGACAGAATCTCACTCCTCTCTGTGGCATCTTTGGGGTGAGAAGAGGGACTGGAAAGCAGGTGGGAAGAAAGAGCTAGAAGACAAAGCAGGAAGATGGCAGTGGAGGCTGCCGAGAGAAATTGGAGGTGAAAAGGGCCAGAGCTCTAAAGTGAGGGCCCGGAAGAGCGCAAGGCCTGGATTGGGGTCCAGAGACTTAAGTTCCACTCCTGATTCAGTCACTGTGTAACTGAAGGCAAGCGTCATACTTCTTTTCTGGGCCTCACTTTCCCCATTTGGAAAACAAGAGGGTTGGGCCAGAAGGTCTCTCCCATCTAAGGTATGTTAGCTCAAATTCTTCTGGATTCTGAGGTTTTTCTTAGTTCTAAATTTCTCAGATCCCTTCCAGTTCCAAGATTCTCTGTTCTTGTGTTCCCTCCAACTCGTAGTGTGCTAGTAAATGTTTAACAACCAGCTCCTTCATGTGCCTATGACACACTCAGAAGTTTCATCTGCATCATTCACATTTTTTCTCCATCACTTTCTGAAGCCTAGACCAATCCACAAAACAATCAATACAGCTCTGAGTTCTGGGGGTTGCCCATTTCTGAGGTGTGAATGCTCACACTGAACATTTAACAATTGGCTCTGGAGTCCAGCAGGAGCTGCCTTCTGCATGCCAGGCTTCCAGCTTAGGCTGTTTTCTGAGGTCCTTTCCAGTTCTGAGATTTTGTTTTCTAAGATCTCTTCTAGCTCAAAAGTTCTATGCTCTAAGCTCCCTTCCATCTTTGACAATCTTTGTTCTAAGTTATCCCCATCTCTGACATTCTCTGTTTTGAGGTCCCTTCCATCTCTCACATTTTCTGTTTCAAGGTCCTTCCCAGCTAGTTCTGGGGTCCCTTTGGGCCATGGCATTCCACAGAGATGGGCAGATAGGGAAGGGAGGGAGGACAGTTTGGAGTGAGCCCCTGCCCAGGAGCCTGATGTGGAGAGAGAGAGAGAGACAGAGAGACAGAGACAGAGAGACATACAGAGAAGAGGAAAGGAGAGGAGAATGGGAATGGGGGGGAGACAGACAGACAGACAGAGAGCAGAAGCTCTGCCCGGGGAGTTATTTATAAATGTCAGTTATTATTAGAAACCTAGCCATTTGAAGGTTAATGACTACTGCGTGTGTCAGCTCTGTATCTGGTCCTGAGCTGCCAAACCCCGATCAATATGTTTTTAATAACCATCTGGCATCTCATTAGCATAGAGCCTGGCTGGCTGGTTGGGGGGCGCTGCCCTCCCAGCCCACCTCTCCCCAGCAGGCTAGAGCAGAACTCGGGCCTGAGCAGTGGGGCCCTGGTCAATGTGTTTCTAATCAGTAATTAGTCTTTAATTAACGGGGCAGAAAAATGATTGTTTTCCCGTCTGCATGGTGATGTGGGCGGGGGAGCCAGCAGGAACGGCCATCTGGGGAGTGTTATGGCTGAGTTTGGAGAGGAGAGATGAAGAAAGAAACAAGATACCCCAAGCCAGATCCCCCAGCAACCAACTTTGAGCTCATCTTCCATGGCAAGCATTGAGCTCACCTGCTGTTCCAGGGTACATGGCCACCTAGCCTAGCCTGTGGGGCCAGAGCTCCCCTGCTTCCCTCTTCCCCTGCTCTCCTCCTCCCCTCTTCCCCTCCCCCCTTCTTCCCCTCCTCCTCTGCTTCCCTCTTCCCCTCCTCCCCTCTTGCCCTGCTCCCCTCTTCCCCTCTTCCCCTCCTCCCCTCTTCCCCTGCTCCCCTCTTCCCCTCCTCCCTCTTCCCCTCCTCCCCTCTTCCCCTGGTCCCCTCTTCCCCTCCTCCCCTCTTCCCCTGGTCCCCTCTTCCCCTCCCCTCTTCTTCCCCTGCTCCCCTCTTCCCCTCCCCCTTCTTCCCCTGCTCCCCTCTTCCCCTCCTCCTCTGCTCCCCTCTTCCCCTCCCCCCTTCTTCCCCTCTCCTTTGCTCTCCTTCCTTGTCTCTTCTCCTTCCCCAGGAGCTCACCTCTGGAGACTCCAGTTTCTCATGGGGCCAGTCTAACCCAAACCAACAAAAGCCGGTATCTGCAGAGTATCCACTGTCTGCAGAGCACCATTCTGGGCATTAGGGGCAAATTTAGGTAAGATGAAGTATCTGCAGCCAGGGAGCTTCCGATCTAGGGGGAAGTGCTGCCTAGACAGGGAGCCCCCATGGCCAGGTTCTGGGGGAAGTCTGCTAGCTGAGGTGGGAGGAAGGAGTGACTGACACAGAGTGATCTGGGAAGGCGGCATGGATGGCCTAGTTGGTCTTGGAGCGGCTGAAGGACTGAGGAGGATGAGGAATGAATTGAAAGAAAGTTAGCAAGGCAAGTGTCTGAGGCTGGAGAAGGCATTTCGGGCATTAGGAGTCTGTGGGGAGAAAGCACAAGACTTGAATACGAGAGAGGTTTGGTTGGAGTGGAGAGATGGGGAGGCAGAGGTCAGGTTCTAAGGGGAGGGCAGAGAGGGCCTCCATGCCTCTAAACTGGAGAGGACTTTGAATGCTAAGAATGCAAAGAAGCTGGACTGTGACTTGGGGTGTGATTGGGATCTATGGAAGGTCTTGGAGCAGAGATGTGACCTGAGCGTGCATCTGTGAAGAGACTTAATGTGGCGGAAGTCTGAAGGCTAGATTGGAGGGGAAGAGAGAGGAAGCTGGAATCCCTGTCAGGAGCCTGGGGCGTGGGTCAAAGCAGGTGGCACTGAGGCTCGCCCTGGTGTGGCAGCAGAGGAGGCACGGAAGTCAGCAATATTGCAGAGGTCGAATCCCCAGGATCTGTGTTACAGGAGTGCCAGAGTCCAAGGACCTATTGCAGTTGGGCCTACAAGCCCTGAAGGCCCCCCGGTGCCCCAGCAGCCCCTGCAGACATACTCCAATATATGCTTGCAGAGAGGCCTGCTGGGCTGAGAAGGGCCCCTTCCCCCCAGGCCCTCCCCTCTGTCCCCCAGTCCTCCAGGGGCCTTCTCTCGAGGCTCCATTGCTTCTAAGGACAGGCAGTTGCTGGCAGTCTGTCCCCAATCCACCTTCCTCTGCCCTCTGCAATTATCTTTGAAGCAAGAAGGCAACTCATCTAACCATGGAATCCCCAAACATTGGAGCTGGAAGGTCCCTTAGAACAGAGAACCTGGAATGTCAGAGCCACAAGGTCTAACCTCAGAGAGGAAGCCCAGAAAGGGGAAGGGACTTGTGTTAGTTAGAAGCTGAGCCCAGGTTAGAACTTCCTAGTGAGATGTGCCCAGGTTCCAGATCTGGAGAACCCATGTTCTCACTGTCTATGTGATACGACCTCAGAGGTACCTTCCAGTTGCTGGTGGGGGCAGGGAGGTGGCTTCTCAGGGTCTTTCAGCCAGTTTCCTTGTCTCTAGCCTGATGCCATCTCCTGAGAGCCCATGGAACAGTAGTATCCCCCCTTGGAGAGATCTTGAGCTTTCTGTCTGTTCCATGCCATGGCATCACTTCAGTTGAAAAAGGTGTGGCGTCTGCTGTGACGGGGGTAAGCAAAGCCTTGGTGTCCACCCTCATGAAGTCCCCAGTCTGCTTGGGAGCCAAATAACCCCAATATTTGGAGAATGAGATGGTGGCCAGAGCATGGGACGTCAGAGCGGAGAGAGCACAGTGGCCCCCGGTGGTCAGGGCAGGTTTCCAAACAGTGCCATTTGAACGGGACCTTGGAGGATGAAGGATTTGGCTGGGCAGAGAAGAGAGGGAAGGCCTGCCAGGAAGAAACCCTGGGAGACAAGGAGAGAAACCTGCCTGTCCACACCAAGGCAAGGGCATTGCCGCTGTGGAGGCGTATTAAAAACCTCCTTTTGAGTAAAATGGGAAAGATTAAGGAATAATGTTTTCTCCAGCTTCAGCCTCTAATTCTAGACTCATTTTTCTTTTAGGAAAGTGGGAAGAACAAAGACTCAGGCCTTCCTTAGGGAGCTGGATTAAGGAGACCAGCCAACCTCAACTCTCAGCTAGCTAAGATCTTTGCCTCCCCACAGTGCCCACCTGGTGCTGCGACCCACTTTAGCCCAGTGTCTTCCTTGGCATTGCAGGTTAAGCTGTATGTCACAGGAAGGAGCTCTTCCCGTTCCATCCTTGAGGGGAGTGGTCCAGAAGGAGGAGGAGCAGGGCGACTTTTACTCCATCATTGTGCTGGGTTCTAACGGCTTCCATTCTTCTCCTTATCCAAGAGGGACAACAAATGTTACCTCAATGTTTGGAGGGTAGAGAGTCCTGCTGGAGGGCATGAGCTGGCTGGGATGTCTCCTCCCCTCCCCACCCTCCTCATACACATCGCATGTCCATGAACACATATTCTCGCTCACACACACACACAGAGGCAGAAAGACACAAAGAGCCTAGGAGGGGAGGGAAAGCAGAGGCCCAGAATTCAAAGACATTTTTCTACCACCTCCCTGTATCTTCACTAGGGCCCATGGGAGAGAGGCACTGAAGGGGGGGCCTGCAGCTGGACGGAGGCAGAGCTGGCCCTCAGACTGAGGCATTCCAGTCTCTAGCTTCTCCCAACCCTCTTCGTGCAGGAGGGACCCTCTGCTTTAGATTCCAAAGGACAAGGGTGCTTGATCTGACGGCCAGTATTAGAAGAGGTTGTCTGCTGTGAACTCCGGAGGTGAACTGGATGTCAGCTCTTGAAGCCAGCTCAGCCCATGACTCCCCAGATGACTCCTCCTCCCTCTGCCTTCACCCTGTGTCCTTTCCTGCTCCCCCATTGGTGAATTGTCCCTGAACCTCCAGCTGAGGAGATACCTGTGCCCATCATGCTCTCTGCAAATTTGGCTAGCCCTTGACTCCTTGGACAATTTCTCTACCCCTGCCACCCCTCTCCCCACCTTTTAACACAGTACTTGGCACAGAGTGCTTAATAAGTGCTCTCTCATCTATCTAGCTTTCTTTCTTGAGTGACAGGAAAATCTTTAGCTGCATATTAGCTGTTGTGACCCCTTAGTGACTTTGGGCAGAATGAGCAGAGATCACTGGTTAGTTGCCTGGTAGCTAGTGAGAGACAATCAGCTGCCCTTGGAGAGAAACCAGGCTCGGACAAAGCACATCTGAGGACAAGATGAGAATGTCCAGATGCAATTGCTGAACCACTGTCAAGGATCTTGGGGAAACTGTGGGGCTGGAGAGGGACAAATGACCCAATTTTTTAAAGTGGTGAGAAGTTGCTTTCCAAACTATGTGCCACTGAACTGGAACATATTAAAGGGATGGTCTGTTGGCATTTAGAAAGGGAAGCAATGATCACCGAGAGGCAGCCGATGTTCATTAAGACCAGCTCAGCCAAACTAACCATTTTTCTTTTTTTGTGAGACAATCAGGGTTAAGTGACTTGCCCAGGGTCCCACAGCTATTAAATGTCAAGTATCTGAGGTCAGATTTGAATTCAGGTCCTCCTGACTCCAAGGCCAGAGCTCTATCCACTGCGCCACCTAGCTGCCTCTAAAACTAACCCTTTTTTTAAAGGGTGTGGCTATTAGACTTGTTAGATGGAGGGATGTCACAGACAGAACACGGTGGGACAGCCATGGCATTTGACAAGGTCTTGCATGCTGTCTTATGGATAAGAGAGAAAGAAAAATGTTGACTGGATGACAATCCAGTTAGGTGGTTTTGGAATTGGCCGAAGAGCTAGGCTAGATAGGCATCATCAGCCTCATCGATCTGTCCTCAGTTCATTTTATCAATAACTTGAATGAAAGCATAGATGGCATGTTCATCCACGTTGCAGCTGACATAAAGTCAGTCAGTGAACAAGCATTTATTCTATGCCTACCGCCAGGCACTACGCTAAGCGTCCTGAGGATACAAAAAAGGCAAACCCAGTCCCTGCCATCGAGGTGCTTGTAGTCTAACAGGGAAGATGATATGGAAGCAGCTTTGTGTGAACAAGGTAGAGTCAGAATGAGTGGAGACAATGTCAGAGGGAAGGCCTGAGCACAAAGGGGCCCTTTAGGTACGGCTTGAAAGGAAGCCAGGGACTGATGAAATGGAGATAAGGAGAGAGAGCATGGGGGTGGGGTAGGAAGGGACAGCCAGTGACAACACCTAGAGCTGTGAGGTGGAGGACCTTGTGGGAAGACTAGGCAGGGGGCCAGTGTCAAAAAGCTGTGTGACTGAAAAAGCTGTGGAGGAGAACTAGGTAGAAAGGGTGGAATGGTAGGAAGGGGCCAGGGTGTGAAGGCCAAACCAAAGATTTCCTGTTTGATCCTGCAGGTGACGTCAGTGGAGCTCATTGAGTAAAGCCGTGACTAGGTCAGACCTCACTTGTGGGAAAATCACTGGAGCAGCTGAGTGGAGGAGGTGAGAGTGGAGAGAAATTTGAATCAGGGGGACCAATTAGAAGAGCACTGGGGTAGCACAGGCTAGAGCTGATAAAGAGAGAAAGGACCCCCTACGGGAAAGGCAAAGGCAGCATATTGGATGTGGGGGGTGAATTCAAGTGAGGAATCAAGGGTGACACTGAGGTTGGAGGTCTGTGGACTCAATAGTTAAGGGGAAATATGGAAGGGCTAAGGGTTTGTGGGAAAATATAATAAGTTCTTTTGGACATGTTGAATTTGAGATTTCTACGTGACATTCAGTTTGAGATGGAGGTCAATAAAGAGAATAGGGCTTGGATGTATTAACCTGGGAATCATCAGCATAAAGATGCTACTTGAACCCATGGGTGTCGATGAGGTTACCAAGTGAGATGATACAGAGTTAGATAAGGAGGAGGCCGAAGACAGAGGTTTGGGGGACACCAGAGTCAGTGGGCACTACCTACATGAAGAATCAGTGCATTTAAGGTTCCATTGAGAGGTGTGGACTGATAGGAGGAGAACCAGGAGAGAGCAGTGTCAAAAACCTCTGGAGGAGAGATGATCCAGGAGTGGGAGGGGATTCGCAGAGAGGTCAAGAAGGATGAGGAGTCAGCAAAGACTTAGATGTGGTGAGTAAGAGGTCATGGGGAGCATTGGAGACAGCTGGTTTAGTTGGGTGATGAGGGTGGGAGGCAGAGAAAACTGGAAAGGACAACTGAGGCCGGCCCCGCAAAGATCTCACTGAGCTCCCGTGCTGGATGAGGGCGGTGCCATTTAATGAGGAGGAGGAGGACATCAGCCATTTGTGTAGTGAGAGTGTAGGGTGACGGATGGACAGCCGCCTGCTGGCTGCACTGGTAGCCACCCATGTGATGTCAAGAGATTTAGAAGCAGGCCTCCAGGAGGTTGGACGTACCCTCCCTGGCAGATCCAAGGGGAGACTTACCCAAGAGTCACAAAGAAGGGGAAGGTTTGAGTAGGCAGCTCTCCCAACTGATAGGGGGAACTCCCAGAGCCGGCAAAAGCAATGAAATTGCAAGTTCTACACTTGGCCTCGAAAAGTTACCGCCTCATCTGAGAAAGATCTGGGGGCAGAGTGGGCTGCAAGCTTGATGGGCCAACAGGGCAACATGGCACCCCCAAGAATGGGATGCAGTCTCAGTCCTGGGCATCTCATTTCAGGAAGGCCCTTCAGGAGCACATGCTCAGCCTTCTGCGAATGCATAGCCTGAGAAGAGCCTATGGAGAAGGGACACAAACGTTGTCTTTGAGCCTCGGAAGGGCGGCTGTCAGGTAGAAGAGAGATCAGCCTTGTTCTCCATGGCCCAGAAGGCAGAGCCAGCAGCTGGAAGGGGAAGTCACAGAGGCAGCTCCATCATACGCCCCACCCCACCGTCTGGGAGGTTGCCTTGCAAGGTCATTCTCTATCATCGGAGGCCTTCCACTGGAGGCTTGGATGATGCTTCTCATGTGTATGTTGTCCGGGGGATTTCTGCTCAGGTCCGGTTCTGAGGTCCATTCCCACTGTGAGGTACTGAACTTCTGCACAGATCCCTGGTTAGAGATTCCGGAGCTCTGCTAGTTAGGGAAGGAGGCAGCCTTGGGCCCAATGCAGGATTTCACTGGATCCTTACTGATGGTCAGGGGTGATTGGGTGGAAGGGGTTCTGCACAGCCTCCGTATGGTCAGGGCCCCAGACCTATTGAGCTGCCAAGCAGGCTGCTCCCATGTGTCCCAGGGGCCTGGATTTCTTCCCCCTTGGCTGGCCCCTTCCCTCCCTGCAAACTTCCTGGCCTGGCCTCCAGGTTTGCCCAACAATGCGGCCAGGGCTCCCCCAGGGCCTTTTGGGCTCTCCCTCTCCCCTACTGTGCTCTGCTCTGACCCCAATCCCGGCTCCAGCTCTGCTGAGTGAGCTGGCTGCATCCCCTTAGCAGCCCCTGCCCCCCACCCAGCCGCTCACCAAGGACTGGGGGAAGCACATTCCACAGTTTGATAGCTCCCCACACTCCTTCCTGGGGCTGCGGCCAATGACGCAATGGCAGCTGTTCAGGAATGCAGGTTGTGTGAGTGTGTACGAGTGTGTGAGTGGGGGAGTGCGCAAGTGTGGGAGCAAGCAGTGTGTTTGTGTGTGTGTGTGTGTGTGTGTGTGCGCGCGCACGCCCACGCGTGTGAGTATGTGTGTAAGAGAGAAAGAGGGGAGGAAGCTGTCCACTGAGCCATCCTGGGGTTGAATCTGGAGTTGGGCTTTTGGAGAGGTCTATCCTCAGGGAAAAATCACTACCCCAAGGTCTGCAGGAGGGGATAGGCCATTTCCCAGGAGCCTTTGCCTGACACAGTAACATTTCTTCCCCATGTGGCTAGGCCAGCAGGACCAGGCCCAGTTCTCCTTAGGGCAAAATGAGTTCTGGTTCCCATCGATAGCTTGGGGTCCTGGTTGCCTGAGAAGAGTGGGGTCAGCTCCTTTTTCACCCTGTCCTCTCAGTTTCTCCCTTTGTAAAATGGGGGTGAACCCAAGGATACTACTTCTCAAACTTTTCAGAACCTTGGGGGAGGGGGCAGGAAGAGCAGCCACCCCCCCACCCACTCCTGCTTGGCCCAGCTCCAAACCCCAAATGATCTTGTGGCACTTGGGCTGGCTAAATAACCTGAAAAAAATCTGTTCATTGTTGGGATTTTTAATAGCGATCTGGCTCAGTCTCGGAAAAGACATTTTCAAAAACCACCACCACCAACCACCATGATGCATTTTTGCATGTCTTGAATTTTGAACTGGCCCATGGACCACTTGAATGCCTTGCGGACCACCAATGTGCCCCAGACCACCCCCTGAGAACCACTGCCCTGTAGGGTACCTAGACAGGGGTCTTAGCCTCCAAGCAGGGTCCTAGAGCGAGCTCAAGCACAAGAGTGGCTGAGTCAGCGGGAGCAAAGAGGGGGAGAGCTGGCACGAAGCTCTGACAGTTTTCCAAGGAGAGTGATGAGGGCCAGTGCCAGGCAGTGGGGACAGAGGGGCTATTGCAGATGGGCAGAAGAAGGCGTGAAGGCAGCAGGGGGCTCAAGAGGAGGTGCCTCAGCTCCAGGCTTGGGGGGCTGGCAGGGCCCTGAGGTGGGTAGGGGAGGGGGCCTGGAGTGGCAGAGGCTGAGAACCTGGGCTCATGTCCAGTGCAATTGCTTCCTAGCCTCTGTCATCTAGGCCTAGCCTCTTCCCTTCCAGGGCCTCAGGGACATGAGGGCATTGGCCACCAAGGTCCCTTCCAGCTCTGTGGATAGAGCGCTGGGCCTGGAGTCAGGAAGACCTCAGGTCAAATCCGACCTCTGACACTTTTTAGCTGTGTGACCATGGGCAAGTCACTGAATCTGTCTGCCTCAGTTTCTTCAACTCTAAAATGGAGATCATGAAAGCACCTACCTCCCAGGGCTGTTGTGAGGATCAAAATGAGATAGTAATTGGGAAAAGCCCTTAGCTTAGTGCCTAGCACACAGTAGTGGTTATGCTGCTGCTGCTGATCATGTGATCCTAAGTCACTTCCCCTTTCTGGGTCTCAGTTTCTTCCTCAGTGAAATGAATGGGTTGGACTGGGGGCCCTAAGGCCTCTTGGGTTGCAAATCCTCCAAGTCAATGTCCACTAGGCAGTTGGAGACCCCACCAATACCTTTGCAGATGTGCAGAGTTAAGGTTCACAGCTGTGTGTCATAGGCCACCTTCAGAAGACAGTTGGGACTGATTAGTGGGGCAGCATTCACTTTGACCAGGGCAGTCCCAGTTTGTCCCCAAAGATGGTTCAGGGGCCTGGTGCAAACCAGGGGACTGTCTCTCACTCCCAATGCCATATAAGCCAGGGAGATGTCAGGAGGGGCCACAGGCAGGCACTTCCAGCCCTGCTGGCTCACGTGAGCCTTGATCTGCGGCCCTGCAGGCACTCGATGCTTCCCAGGGTCAGCAATCCAAACTCCCAGCAAGCTTATAGCAGCCTCATCTACCCAGCCTCCCCCTCCCACCACAGGCTAGAGATGTTACAATAAATGGTCCAGGGCAACCCTGCCACAGAATAGCTGGGCCCCAAGAAGTCAGCTAGGGCATCAATGGTAAGTCTTCACATCTCTTCCTGTTCCTTTTGTGAGGTCCTGGCACAGTTCTCATGCACAGTTAGCCAAAGCATGCCATCAAATTTGAGGGCCCAGAATTCCCCAGGTCTTCTGTATCTCAGGCCAAGGTCCACTTCTTAGAATCATAGAACTCTAAAGATGTGTGGGGGTATAGAGTGTGTTCAGGGAAGACTAGCCCCTCTGGTGTGAGGGCTGCTGAGCCCTTTTCAGAGCTGCTCATCTACCCTTGGTGCCCACCTAGTTCACCCAACTCTCACCTGTTCCCATTTGTTTGATCTCTTTCGGATATAGCCCTAGAAGTGCTATTGCTGGATCAAAGGGTTATGCACATTTTTGTAGCCCTTTGGGCATAGTTCCAAATTGTTCTCCAAAATGGTTGGATCATTTCACAACTCCACCAACAATGTATTAGTGTTCCAATTTTTCCACATCTTCTCCAACATTTATCATTTTCCTGTTTTGTCATGTTGACCAATCTGATAGGTGTGATGTGGTACCTCAGAGTTATTTTGATTTGCATTTCTCTAATTACGAGTGATTTAGAGCATTTTTTCATATGACTATAGATGGCTTTCATTTCTTCATCTGAGAACTGTCTGTTCATATCCTTTGACCATTTATCAATTGGGGAATGACTTATGTTCTTATAAATTTGTCTTAATTCTCTATATATTTTAGAAATGAGGCCTTTGTCAGAGACACTGGTTGTAAAAATTCTTTCCCAATTTTCTACCTTCCTTCTAATCTTAGTTGCATTGGCTTTGTTTGTGCAAAACCTTTTCAATTTAATGTCATCAAAATTATCCATTTTGCTTTTCATAATGTTCTCGATCTCCTGTCTGGTCATGAATTCTTCTGTTCTCCATAGATCTGATAGGTAAACTATTCCTTGTTCTCCCAGTTTACTTATGGTATCAACCTTTATATCTAAGTCATGAACCCATTTTGACTTTATTTTGATATATGGTGTGAGATCTGGGTTTATGCCTAGTTTCTGCCATACTCTTTTCCAGTTTTCCCAGCAGTTTTTTTTCAAAGAGTGGGTTCTTATCCCAGAAGTTGGAGTCTTTGGGTTTATCAAATAATAAATTACTATAGTCATTGACTACTGTGTCTTGCATATTTAACGTATTCCACCGATCCACCTTCCTATTTCTTAGCCAGTACCAAGCAGTTTTGATGATTGCTGCTTTATAATACAATTTAAGATCTGGAATTGCTAGGCCAGCTTCCCCCTGCATTTCTTTTCATTAGTTCCTTTGATATTCTGGACCTTTTGTTTTTCCAAATGAATCTCGTTATTATTTTTTCTAACTCTATAAAATAATTTCTTGGTAGTTTGATTGGTATGGCACTGAATAAGTAAATTAGATTAGGTAGGATTGTCATTTTTATTATATTAGCTCAGCCTCCCCATGAGCAACTGATGTTTTTCCAGTTATTTAGATCTGATTTTATTTGTGTGAAAAGTGTTTTGTAATTGTGTTCATAGAGTTCCTGGGTTTGTTTCAGGAGGTAGACTCCTAAATATTTTATAATGTCTACAGTAAGTTTAAGTGGGATTTCTCTTTCTATCTCTTGCTGTTGGGCTTTGTTGGTAATATATAGAAATGCTGATGATTTATGCACTCACAACATGCTTATGGACAACAAGAAATCCAGTAAACCTGAAAGACATGTTTGTCTTTCAAATACTCTTGTTGCAAAAGAACCCAGCAGGTATTACATCCAAATAGCAGCCCTGAGTGAAACAAGGCTGGCAAATGCAGGCCAGCTTATCAAAGTTGGAGCTGGATACATGTTTTTTCTGGAGTGGCTGCGGTGAAGGGGAGTGCTGTGAAGCTGACTTTAATGCCAGAGTAGGCACAGACTACCAGACTCAGCAGGGAATCCTAGGGAGGAATGGAGTTGGAAACAGCAACAGCATTGGTCACTTACTACTGAAGACTTGTGCAGCTCATGACCTCATCACCAACACCGTCTTCTGTTTATCTAAATGCAATGAAACTTCGAGGATGCACCCCCGCAGCAAACAATGACATTTATTAGACTATGTCATTGTAAGGAGAAGAGACAGACAGGATGTGAGAGTGATGAAGGTGATGTGTGGCACAGAGTGCTGGACTGATCATGGACTTATCCTCTCCAACCTAAATATTCACATTCAACAAAAGTGGCATCCCCAAGGCAAGATGACTACCAGAGGACTTAATGTTAACAGATTAGAGCACTTCTCCAAGCAGGAACAGCCTGTTGCTAACTTGGAGGGAAAGCTGAGCCAACACATGTTTGGCAACAGTGGAACAGAAAAGGAGTGGGCAGCTTTCAGAGATTTGGTGTATAGCACTGCCTTTACTCATCTGGGCCAGAATACTCACAAACATCAAGATTGGTTTGATGAAAATGATGAGGAAATTCAGTAGCTGCTAAATGAAAAATGAGAACTCCACAGGGTTTACCAGCCAGGATAGTTCATCCATCTCTAAGAAGGCGGCGTTTAACTCCATCAAAAGTGAAGTATGAGTAAAGTTTCAAGAGATGCAGGATTTTTGGCTCAGTAAGAAGGCAGATGAAATACAGTTTTACACTGATAGTAACAATCCAAAGCACTTTTATGATGCCCTGATGGCTATTTATGGGCCAAAGTGCTGATGGAGCCACATTGATTAGTGATAAGGACATGATCCTGGAGAGATGGGCTGAATGCTTCCATTGTATTCGCAACAGACTGGCATCAATCAATGCTGAAGCCTCAGGTTAAAGTCAGTCCCTCTCAAGCTGAAGTTCCAACTGAAGAAGAGGTTCTGAATGCCATTAGGCTCCTCTCCTGTGGCAAAGCACCTGGTGCTGATGCTATTGCAGCTGAGATGTACAAGGTGGAGGTCCACTGCTCATACAGAAACTGACTGAAATGTTCCAGGTTATATGGCAAGGGGAGGTTATCCCCCAAGAGTTCAAGGATGCCTCCATTGTCCATCCCTATAAAGGTAAAGGAAATAGATTGTCCTGTGACAATCATGGGGGTGGGGTGGGTCTCTCTCTTGTCACCGGTGGGAAGGTTCTTGCCAGAGTCCTCCTTAATAGGCTGATCCTTCACCTGGAAGGTGGTCATCTACCTGTGAGCCAGTGTGGCTTCAGAAAGGGCCAAGGAACAGTCAATATGGCATTTGCTGCCCAACAACTGCCCGACATTGTCTACAAGGAAACCTGTAGTCAAGTCCACATGGTGTGGTCTAGACAGTAGACACACACCATGGGAGATTGAAGGAGGCAGGAATGAGGACTGGGGAGGGAATGGACTTTCCTGTGAGTAGGAGGTAGAAACCTGCCCAGGGGCCCCTGAGTCTCTGCTCCCCTGTTCCACTGAAGTGTGATACTGTGGCCACTGCCACTTGGCTCCCCAGCCCTGGGGAGGGGGACAGGGAATGAGAGGGGGGAGAGTAATCATCTTAATTAATTGACCTCATTAAGATCCCAGCTGGTAGAGAGCCAACTTTCCTGTTTCTACTGTCAAGGAAGCGACAAAAGTCACCCCTAGGGTCATCAGTGACCCACGTGGGAAGTCTTCCAGCCTGGGATTGGAGTCTTCCTCCAGGTCTAGAGAAGGGAGGGCCCCCTCTGCTATAGGCCCTCATCTCCCTCTCTCCTCTTCCCAAAAGGACCCCTCCTTCTCTGGGCTGACCTGGGCTTCCTGGCTGCTGCCTATTTTAGGGTTCTGCCTGAGGCTCCCATGTGGCTCTCTTCCCTGCCTCCACTCCCAGCCCCCATCTGCTCCTCAGCTTCAGCACCGCACCCCTTGGCAGCAGCTGCCTGGGTGCCAGGCTCGGGCCCAACCATTTGCCATCTGGCTAGAAGTCCCTCCCTTCATGACAGGGCCATCCTCCCAGGCAGCTTTGCCTGCTGC